GTATAACCCCGCGTTGGCTATGGCCCATCTACTGAGTGGCTCCGTCCCGCTGGCTTCCAGGACTTCCAAGCCACTCCGGAGCAGTCCACTGAACTTGAGCGTCGTTACAAGGAGACTCAGAAGGAGGCCGATAAAATCCGCCACTCTGCATTGGATTCGTGATTGATGCAGCTCTGATCTCAATTCATTGCTATTGGCGTCGTTTACTGCCCATCCTTAAGTTACTCTGTTCCGAGTTCTGTATGGATGACTGTCTGTTTGAACGATCAGCTCATCAGATGAGTCTCATCTGATGCGTCCATGAGGCGCTCAACTCCGTTCTGTTCTCGCTATGTTCAATGCCGATATTCGGGCCAACTCTCGCTATGTAGTGGAAGGTGTTCCCCAAATGATCCAATATAGGTGTTGAGGTTTATGTAAATGTTGTACGGTAGCGTCAACGCGATATACACATTCCTTCAACGATACTACATGGTTGATTGATATGATACTTTTCATTGATGGATAGTTATCGGCCTGTCTGACCGTATACTCGTGGCATACACCCTTTGAATGAGTGAGTGTTCTTAGAGCGCAAGGGGCTTATTCCACCATCTTCTCCACGTAATCGTTACTCATAGGATCCAACGCCCTCGGGTGACTTTTCATGTCTGTTATCTCGGCCCTTTCGTACTCCGCTCGCGTACCAGAGGTTGTCCTGCTCATCGATAATGTCAATGATTCTGCCTCGTCTAATTGGTGTCATCATTTGCTTATCTCAAGTTCTGGGTCTCCATTTTTACACTCTTTCCGGCCAGCAGATGTGCTTCCAGTAGGTGTAGAGCATCTCCCAGTGTCAGTTTGACGGTATATCATCGTTATCAGTCAGCATATAGCGGCACACGTGGCCATAGCCATCAAGTACACCAAGATTACACGTTTGATGATCGAAGGAGCCGATGACGGCGATTTTGGATTACAGTAAGACCATATCACGTTGCGCAACGATCGTCGCCCTTTCGTTGATTACAACGATTTTCTCACTTTTGATGGACCGAGTCCATCTCGGTGAGGGGAAAATTGGCTGCCGATTTGTGAACAAGGAAAATCAATATCGATAATTCGGCGTGCAGTAATTAACCCATTACGAACGAGAACATCCACCCGGATGAGTGATAGGTGTGTGCTTTTCTCCCCCACCACAACTTTCTGGTTAATGGCGTCCTTATTGGGGCGTATTCATCGTGAGGCTGACGGACAAATCATGCGTTGGTCTAGGTGTGAGATCCGCTTGGAGGCTCGGTACCTCGACGACGATGGAGACGTAGCGACGTTAGTTCACCCGATCATTAGATCACTACCCATCTCGCAGCAATCTGGTATAGTGGCCTTTTCGCCTAAGATCGGTAGGCCCATGGGTCAGGTCGGCTGATACTCAGAGATTCAGGTGGTGAATACGAAATTTGTACGATGTGCCTCGAAGAAGTTGGTCGTAGATGGAAAGCCCAGCTGGCAAGCAAGGCGAAGTACCATCGCGGATGGTCCGAGTCGATGATGAACATGACAAGACCTGTTACTGCCGGCGATACTTGCTGCTTTCCAGAACCAAATGGAGCCTCGCGGTCGACGTTCTCGACGAGGCAGAGATTGAAAACGCGATGCCCTTCGGTGCTCCGGACGCAGTAACCGGTGAGGTCCTCACCGTGAGGACTTGAGAACGACGTAATGCGGCCCTCCAAGGGCCACCTAATTCTCTTTGAGTTATGTGCGTCTCGTTCCTGCTGAGATCAGTGCTATCATCTCCAAGATCTCTGCTATGGGTTGTTTCAGAGCCTCCAAAGTGAAAGGTTTGATCGGCAAGGTGTCAGGCATTGTATCAGAGAATGAATACGAGGGCGATCAAGAGGAGGTATCCGCTAACTGTGCCGACCTTCACTAAGGCTTCCTCTCTCAGACCTTTCGTAACGCCTCCGAGACGGTAAATAGTCGAGTCATGTGGGCAGCCTTGCTGCAGATGGTGATATACGCGGCTGTTGCTGCATACCAAGTGTAAGCAGTCTTCTTCATGGTGATACATGATGTCAAGCTGCTTTATTCAGGCGCAGTCTGAGGAGATTCTTCAGGCAACACAAAATCATATAACTAAGTGAGTCATGTTGTCGGCCACGAGTTGCGTTATTTATCAATGAAGTGGGCAAGTACTTCTTGTCTGCGATGTCGTACGTATCCGATCTATCTCTAATATTCACCCAGCTCAGAAGAGCCCCCATAATGACCGATAAACTTAGCCTGTTCCCAACTGTTCAGGGACCGAACGAGTTCCAACTCTCGGCTGTTTTTCCATCTCCGATCGGTGTTAGTAACACCGTGTTACTGTATCACTATAGTTGAGTATTGAGGTAGTCTACCCCAAGAAAAAGCTTTACCTGATCTACCGTAAAACAGTGAGTAGCCTTGGAATCATGTCTCTTCGCGAGATACTCGCAATATAAAAGACTCCAGATACTGACTCTGAAACAATGCTAGGAATGCGGATCAACTTTATGACTGTTCCCAGCACAGTAATCGATTGGTTTTAATCGAAAACCTGAATGGTTCTGAGAACAATGGTGCCAGTGACCGTCACTGAGTGACGTATGGTCCGAATTTCGGTTCTCACTGAAAAGTCTCTGCAGTGGGTCGATTCCACAGCGGGGTGGAATTTTCACCATGGCA